TTTATAATGACACATGAAATTCATAATCACTAACACTGGGATCTTTGATGTTAACATGACATTTACTAAGAAAATTTCATTGCAAAAAGAAAAATCACTGAGGGCAGAGGATTATCAAGCCCAGAAATTGTAAACAGTCTAGATAAGAAATTCAAGTTTGGTTTTAAAAAAAACTCCAAAAACTAGTCCTCTTAACAAATCAAACTATATAGTGAACAGCATCATTTTACAAATAAAATGTGTTATACATGATAATGTTACCTTTCCTATCTTTATAAATCATTTATCTACCATTTTACTGTAGAAAGTAAGTCATTGAAATGGAAAATCCAATGATTTGTGTCCATTAAGCTGCCCAAGAGATATAGTTTAATTTTGTCAGAATTTATTTTCTGCATTGGCCTTATACTAAGTGTTTCAATCAACAAACTTATAGAGTGCCTTCTGTGGGCAGGCACTGGGCTTGATGACATAGGTAGTCACGGTCCTTGGCCTTCCTGGAGGTTATGTTCCTGCAGAGGAAATAGACGGAAAACAAGAAACAGGCAAACAAATTAATTACAAATTGTGTTTGGAGAATTAGCTCAAATGAAGAGCCCAAATGGAGTTGATCTTTTTCTTTCTTCTCTCTTCATTAACTTTGTAATTGACATTTACATGACTGTGGCAATACATAAGTGAAACACTTGTAACACCATTAGGTGAGACCTGTGGAAACAATTGGACTACTAGACCGTATAAAGTAAAGGAAAGGCTTCAAGCTAAATTATTCCCCAGATTCTTCCCTGGCATCCACTCAAGTTTAGAGCAAAGGCATGAGGAGGCCAAAGACCATAATTGAAAACTATCTGAACTAATTATGGTTTTGAATATCTGCTCACAAAATAATTCATTCAGCGCTAAAAGCATTTTATTATTAGGATGAACACTGAGAGTATAACCTCTTCTATTCAAAATAACCTTTTGACCAAAAACGTTTTATTATTTGATCTCGGGCTTTTCTCTGTATTCTCACTCTTATCTTCATTTACTCCTACTGAATACAGTTGATATTAAAGCCATCTAAAAGGGATGCGGCTCACAGCTCCATGGATACAATTATTGTGACGTGTGCCTTCTATCCTTATCCAGTAGAAATTGTATGTTGCCGAGAATGATTGATTGATTACTGCCTTTGTATTTGATTTTGTCGTTATTCATTATTTTCTTTGTCAAACAGACCCACACTCTTCTTCACATAATCACCCAGTCCTGTCTCTCAGTAAGCAAAGTAGCTGATGGCTCCCAACAGCCCACTGTGGAAATATGTAATGATAGCCCTTTGCAAAAATGGCTACTAAGAAACTATACAAGAATGGAAGTTTTTAGGAATATTTTTGAGAATCCTACTGATTACATTCTCAAATAATTTTTGGAGGTTTGTGTTACAGACTTTATTAAATTTATTTTAGTATTTTTGTTATATTCTGTTATTGAAGTTTAGAAACTTTCTTCTTTAAAATGTGGTTAAGGAAAATCTTTATGTGGTATTTCTCCATGGAGTTATTTTTCTGTCTTTTACTTCTTAGCTGCTCATTAATTTGGAGGCTGCATATATTAAGTAGTGTTTAGTCTACTACTAATTAATAGGTATTTTCCAGTTTTTTCATTATTTCAAATATATATATGCATAAATATAATTGATGGAATACATTATGATATATTAGCTCTTTTTTAGGCTAACTATAGTCATGTCTATATGTCAATAGATTTTACATTAGAGCTGAAAAAAAATCAATAAAAAAAACTAACATAGCCAAAAAAATGGATTGTTTTTGGAACGTTTAAATTATTTAATTTTGTTAATTTTTATTCACATACTTCGGTTGTGTGCAGATATGGCATATCCTTTCTGGAATTTATTATTTTAACCTGAAACTTTAAGCAAATGCATTATTGAAGACTAAGATGTAATTTTCAATAACTTTACAAAATAAATTATTTTTAAGCATTTCTTTCTGGTTGGTTAAGTGATATAATTATAATAAAAGCTTTTTAAAAATTGTACCATTTATCCCTCACTTGTATGATTTGTGAATATCTTCTCAGTAAGTAATAAAATGAATAATTATTCATTTCAAGTAAAAAAACTGGTATGGAATTCTTGTAGAGTGCAAATAAGAACATGTCCTAGTTCTTGATCTTAAGGGGTTCGTTGTCCTCTAAATGATGTTACATTGCCCGATACCTTGCTATGAGAACACATGGGAAGTTAGAGACTTATTCTGGTTCAGATGAACCAGTTAAAGGTTGTTAGTAGAGGATGCAACTGAGCTTGGAATGCTTGTGATGGGGCTGGGAAGGGAGATATGGAGAGGAAAGGAGAGGAGTGTTGTTTAGATTAGAAGCACATTGGAGAGAAGGGCAGGCCAAACATCCCTTGGAATGCTGAAGAAGTCTGGACCTTTTGCACAAAGAGAACTTGTGTACAAAGCAAGGTACATATATTATCTTAGTTTGTTTTCAAAGCAACCACACCTGGTAGGTGTAGTGCCCAACAAGGGATCTTCTCAGACTTAAAACATTTCGTCTTACAAGTCTGCTTACAGAATTCTACGGCAGAAACTACAACTTGCTTCTGTCAGCAGAATTTACAGCAGTTCCCACAGCAGTTCCTACAGCCTGTGGGAGCTGGCTTCTCCACAGGTGACAGCCCTGTGCAAGGGGATGAGAGCCATATCATCTGGAAACCATTCTGGCTTAATAGTCTTTTGCCTCACAGGAAACAGTATCTCTGTAACAACTCCACAGGCATAGCTCCGAGTAACCCATCAGAAGGTGCAAAATTACAAGTCTTTGCACTTGGAGAAACCCACCATTTGGCTTCCTATCAGGTATTAATACTGCAGTTTATCAGATGGAGATGCAGTTTATCAATCAGAGGTCATTTTTACCATAAGCAATGTTGCCTAGAAACATAGTTAACATTTTTACCCTTATCAGGTTGCCATGGGATCACAGTTAGATGGTTGACTGCCAGTCAAATTTTTTAAGCAGAAGGGGAGAGGACATTTTAATTTTTCATAAGTATAGCTAAGCATTTTCTGATAAAGAGTCTGATTCCTCAGAATGATTTGGTAGCTTGCCAAAGTTTTCACGGCTAGTAAGTGGGGAAGCAAGAATTCACATTTAGGGCTCTCTGACCCCAAAATATCTGTGCTTCTACTGCAGTACATAAAAAGGAGAGTTTTTTGGTTCGTTGGTTGGTTGGTTATCTTTACAGCAGTGGCTTTTGACTATTAATTCCTTCAAAGAAAATATTTAAGCATTTTTTTAGAAAGAACAATATTTACTAATATTTTTTAAATTATCATTATTTGTGTAGTTTAAAGCACATATTCAATCTTATCCTTAAAGTCATATACATTTTTTTAAAAAGGATCTAATAGCAGAAAGCAAGGGTAAGTGGCTTTTTTGAAAAAGGACATATACACGCAAAGGACTTCAGGTACGTAACAAAAATGAAGAATATTTTGTTGATTTTAACTAGAACTTTCTAGAAAATAATGTTTTTGTTTTTGTTTTTTATCTTTTTTTCAAGTTGGCTGTTGGTTCATAAACCAACAACATAATTTCTGGCATCATAAGCATAAATCAACTATCTTCTTGCCTTTCGTTGGCCATTTCTTCTTTTCTCTATTTTTTAGTGTAAATAGCTTGATGTCATGTATTGAAAGAGCAGTAACAAAGGCCTCAATCTTGAAATCTCCTTCACATCTAATAGCCTTGCTCTTTTAATTCCTGCTTGTTGTCTATTAAGCATCCTCCACCATTTTCTATTCCATCTTTTCTCAGGACAGTGCAGTCCAGGGTGTTTGCAGTCCTAATCCAAACAAATTACAATTGTCTAGTCAGTGTTTCTCCACCATTTTTACTGCATGCCCCCTGTATTTTTTATCATCCAACTTCCAATGTAATATCAAGAGCCAAAAAAAAAGATTTGTCTACCTTTAATTTTGGTAATTTGCAACAAAAGTATATGGCATGCTTTTTTAAGATATATCTGCAAGTCACCTTCCATACATTCTAACACTTCTCTTCTGGTTGAGGAGTTTTTCATACAGTATGGTTCTAGGCATTGCCCATGAAACTGAGCAGAAATGTATATAATTAGTGTGCATCAAGTAGTATGTATAAGCATGTGGACTTAAAATGTATATCTGAAAAGTCCAAAAACTATGACCTCAAAATGTAAATGTGAACTCAGAAGACATGTAATGACTGGTTAACATGATGCATTTATGGGAATTACATTTCAGCATTTGGGTACTGAGAGGATGCTTATTAATGAATATTGTTATTATGAAGAAAATAAAATGTGGATATTTAAAAAATATGAGCATCACATCCCTGTTTTTACTTGATGTTGATATTTTTTAAGATCCTTAAAAATGTAAACCAAAATATGATGAGCATACTGTCAAGAAAGACAGATCTTTGTTGCTACGATAATCACTCTTCTACAATGAGTGTCTCAGAGTCACAGATACTATGGATTGTTTACTATTTTGAAATAGGAATATCTCTAGCAGTTTTGTTCATTTAGGTCACAGCTGTGACATCTCTTTGCATGTTTACCAAATGGTTACTGAATAACACATGCCTAAGGAAACTAAGCTTTTGTGAAAGCTTGTTAATATTTGCAGCCCTCAACTGAACTCAGAGCTCACAAATGGGCTTTTTGCAAAGGAGCCTGAATTCTTGGCAATGCATGATAAACGTCAGCCAATTTCTTTAACCATCTGCAAATAAAGGTGTGTTCCCCAATGATGAAACCATAACAGTGAAAGTTGTATAATAATTCATTCAGAGCCACCTGTGCACATTTCCTTTCACAAACATATCACAGTGTTTACAGTAAAAAAAAATCATAAAGAATTTTTTAAGAGGAGATTTAATCTGATGTGCTAATGAAGTTAAAGATAAAATATGTTGCACTGATTATTCGTTATCTTTTACAGAGACTCACCTTGAGGCATGTTAACAGTAACCAATGTCTTGATGAACCTTCTGAAGAAGACAAAATGGTGCCTACCATGCAGGACTGCAGTGGAAGCAGATCCCAACAATGGCTGCTAAGGAACATGACTTTGGGGGCATGAAGACCATTTTCCCCAAGCCGTGAAAGTGTCTACACTTTTGTTTTTCCATTATTTCAGTTAGGGAAAAATATTAACTTTGCTGAATTGAAAGTTTTAAAATCCTTTTAGTATTCTAAAACACAGGTGTTTATAATTCATTTTTAGGAATGTTTGCTTATTTCCCTACTAAAATTTGTATCTGATCAAAAAGCACATAAAAAATACAAATAACAGCAAACTGTTATTAAACATTGGAACAACTTCAAAAACAAATTGTGTTTGCTTTTAAAAAAAATCTTTATTGCCCTCATATCACAGGATTAGTTGGGGGATTATTTTTATTTTTTCTTGTCATAGTGATTGAAAGAGACAATGTAAATGCCTTATAAAATATCTTCATTATGAAATATCAGTTGTTTTATAAACTCACTCTGTTTCTACTGGACCTTCATGGAAGCATGTTCAATTTCTATGTCAACAGCAAGGCCCCACACTGAATTATTTCTGAACAATGAATTCATCATACTAAATAAGTTCCAAGTTTTGTACCAGGAAGAAAATTAAATTGGATATTGATTTCTCATGGAGTTCTTATAAAACATCACATTTAAACAAAAAAGAAGAGGAGAATTTGAAAATTCAGTTTGAAGTACATGAAATCAAGAAACTAGCTGGGCATTGAGAGGAACAAGAAGAATCATTTTACGAGATATTTACAACTGGAATTACATTAACATTTGCAACTGAATCATTTTAAAAGATATTCCATTTGGGTTGCAATCACTCCTAACAGGCTGAGTGTAACAATCGTCTTGGTCCCAGAGTTGGTGTCAGAAACTCAATCCTTAACCACTGTCTTTGTCTCACATACACTATGCAGTCTTCACTCTAGAGACTGTGACGTGTAACTTACGCTGTACAGAATCATAGGTGAAGGGTAAAGTTTTAGCCCTAATTTTTAATTCTTTTGCATTTAAAGATTTTAGTTAGGTCACTATTACCATTTTAATTTTATAGTTTAAAAAAATAATGCATTACTATCAGAATTTCATTGCTATGCTAGAGTGTCTAAAGTTTTCATCACCAAGGGAATGAAGTCAATACACATCCATTAAACTTTTATTTTAATTTAACTGCTAGATAGCATTCACCATAAATTATGGCTCACAGAACACAATCACCATTAGGCTAGCTTCACATGTTCTTCTTCAGTCTTAAAACACTTTGTGTTCAAAATAGATGAGCAAAAAACATGAAAAGGAAGAAAAATCTATTAGTGAGATTTGTGCTAGTAAGTTTTAGTATTTGACACCATTTAAAATGCCCATAAAGTTGCTCTACATATGTATTTTATTCATTGTAAATGCACTCAGCAGCTAAGAGAAATTTAGCGGAAAAAATGGAAGAAGCATCCTCTAGAGTAGAAGATGCCACATCTTCCCTCTTGTCTTTTCTTAAAAAACTCGGATACAAAATATTAGTTCGGCTACAGGCAAACTCCCTCTCCCTCTATCTCTGTGTCTCTCTGTCTCTCTGTCTCTGTCTCTCTCTCTCTCTCTCACACACACACAGAAACACAGCTTTATAATGAAAAGGAGGACACTTTCTGAATAATGTCTTGTATGATTTTCCCAGCTAGCAGTCCTTTCTTTTGGTTTTATACTGGTACAACTCTAAGGAAGAATTCCACAACCTGGAGCATTTTGGTTTACTTCTTAACATGTAGACATCCCTCACCTCGAGGTCTCTGGGAATCTTTGAATATCTTAAAATTATAAGCAAAAGTTTGAATGTCTGGGCATTTTTTCTGAGTCGAGACTCCATTATTTACAGCAAACTTCTAAGGAAGCTATGGCTCCCAAGAGCTAGCAAACCACTGCCTTAAATCAATAGTAGCCTCACAAGTCAACTGAGGCCTGACTTAACAATCACAGTTTCCATTTTCACTCTCTTTTTCTCCCCTGTTCCTGTTATCCTGACTAAAATACAGTAAAAGGTCTCTGCACAGCATTCTTCCTTAAACTTAAAAAGCTTAAAGACTCAAGAACTCTTTTATGCAATCTGTTCCTCTTATTATGAATTTGTTAATCAAAATGCACGTTATCTAGAAAATAGTCAATGACAAGTTTTTTAAAATATGTCTACTCCATCAAAACCGAATTTGACACATTTCAGCAGCATTTTTAATATTTGAAAGTTCATTACGGTCATAGCAAAAATACAGGAAAAATGAAAACTGCATGAATTTCATGCCAGAGAAGAATTTTCAAAGAATCCTCAGATGGTTTGAACACATGCTATTACAGTGTCTAACAAATGAAAAACAGACATAAAATATTATAAAACATCAAAAAACCGGAAAGCAATGACTAATTGAATTTTTTCAAAAATATTTATTGTATTTTGTACAGAAAATTAAAATTATGATTGAATTCACAATGCACTCATCTTATACAAGGAATGTATAAGATGTATAAGATGGAGCTAGACTAATAGATATTTCAAATGACTTCAAACTTCCTCTCCTGAGGTCTTGCCCATTGCATTTAATGCCAACTCCAACCTTCCAGATGCTCAGATCAAAAACCTAAAGTTACTTTTAACTCCTCTTTCTCTCTCAACTTTCATCTAATCCATCAACAAATTCCCTTGATGCTATATTGAAATATAACCAGAAACCAACAACTTACCACCACATCCACTATAACCTTTTTCATTGCAATATGCTTATAATTTGGTTCCCTAGTTTTCCAACCCTTGCCCATAATAGTCTTTTCTCAATACAAGAGCCATAGTGATTCTGTTAACCATGAACTTCATTGTGTCGCTTCTCTGCTCACAACCCTCCAATGACTTCTCATGTCTCTCCAACAAGACTTCTCACAGTGGTCTTCAAGGTCTTTCATGAATGATACCCCTCTACTCGTGTTCATACACACACGTGCACACATGTTTCTGACTACACATCTTACCATTCTGCCCGTTACTTACTTTGCTCTGGCTGCCACACAAGTTTCTGTCTTGGTGTTTTGTTCCCTCTGCCCCACAGAGCTCTCTCACTCACTTTATTTAGGTCTCTGTTCAAATATTTTCTAATCGGTAAGGCAAACCATTCTCTCCCTTGCCCTCTGTATCCTCTGTGCATTCTCTGACAAACTATAAATTTGCTTCTTTATTTTTTGTCTACCCTTCCACCCCCCAACATCCCCATCACACACCTTAGAATGTAAGCCCCATAACGGCTGGGACTTTGCCAGTTTTGTTCACTGTGGTATCCTCAGTATCTGTTAGAGTTCTTGGCACATAGTAAGTATTCTTTAAATATTTCTTAAATTAATGAACTGAAAAATGTGTGTTATTGTTGCTAAGTGCTATGTATCATATCTTTTTTTTGCATATTATTTTAAATTTTAAAATAAAGTCTAGTCATATATTTAGACAGGATTTGCATAACTTTGTGTCCAAATGATAATTTTCTTCCTAATTTCTTCACAGTAAAGTATGGACTATATTTTTTTCTCTATGATAAAATATCCTGCCTTATGGAAATGAAATAGGACATAAACATGCTACTATATTATATAAGTTACTTTATTAAGATAAAAATAATTTTTATTTTTATTTGGTTATGTTCAATGGCTACCTGAAGGCAAAAGATTTTTACTTTTAAAGGGAGACATGTGTCATTCTCTTAAAAATCATAATGTATTTTCATGGTTTCATGGAAGCTATTACTAAATTTGTTTTCTAAGGGAAGTCTATGAACAAAATATAGTTGTAGAAACTTTGACAGGACTTTACAGATGATCTATTCTTAGTTTCTCTGTTTACAGATAATAAAAATGAGACCCAGATATGTAATGTGGTTTGCCCAAGGATCATATGGCTATTATTAGTGTTGCCAGGACTCATCATTGTTAATATAACCTAGTACTGCCTTCAATTAAAAAACACTCAAAAATAAAATAGGAAGGGCACAGTAATGAGAAAAATGTCCTCATTAAACATTCTGTGATAAGTACATTGATTCTTTAGAGATCTATGACTTCTCACTACTACTCAAATAAGATTAGTTCTATAAAATACTCCCACAGGCAATAAATAAAGACCTGTAGCAGAAATAAAGAAATTAACAGGAAACAGCATAATTACAGAACATCCTGGCACTGGGCAAACCAGGGTTCAGGGGAAGTAAAGCCTCTTCAGCCGTAACTAATGGAACATACTCTCCCCTCACTTCCATTTTCCTTATAGTTATGTTCAAGTTAAAAGTAAGATTGGCCTACAGCTTGCCAGAGAGTTAGACCAGCTATTACTATGAACATTGGGCAGGTTCTAGGTTTGCAGCTTCAAAGACTGCAGGGTAATCAGTAGAGACTTCTCAGCTTCCCAGTGGAGCTCTGTAGACTCTAGGAAAAACAACCCTTAAATTTGATTTTGCTATGGTGTTTAGAAACAACCTAAAAAAAAAAAAAAGTACAGGGAGAGAGAGAAAAAATAACTACAACAAAAAAACAGAAACAATTTTACGTTTTTTTTCTTTTTTTTTGGTGGGAGGTTAAGAGCATAATACAAATTGGTTCAGTAAACCTCAACATATTGGTTCTCCTGTGTTGTTTTCACCACTTGAGAAATGAGGATCATGTCTAATCACAATCATTTTACTTGCATCTCATTTATAGATGCTCAATCTAATCTTAGAGGAGGCAACATAGGTATGCATTCTTAAATTATAGAGTATGCTAAGTTGACAAATATGAAGAATTTAAGAAATTCAAGGTCTTAATGGATGTGTCATCATCCACAAGCTGTCTTTCTGCATAGTTGATAACTGCAAATCTTGAATAAATTTCCATCAGTTGGGCAGCAGAAATTCAATTAAGTCTTAAGGCAGCTTGTGTTTCAGGATTTGGCCGCTACTCACCATTTTTTCCCATTTTTCTCCAATATGTCAAATATGGAATAGAAAATACAGCCACTCTTCTGTACAGCACATGAACACATCTGGTGTGACTACACCATGTTCACACTGCTATGAAGTATAAGCTATTGTATGACTTTAAGGTGTTGAATGAACACCAGCAATGTGTTTTAAATAGTTTGTGTAAATTTGTGTCCAACTTTTGTTTTATATTGTTCAATAAATTCTAAAGGCAATTTCATTGTATTTGTTTAAAAAAATCCCTTTGAAATACTAGTGATGCAGGGCACCTCTTTTGTTAACTATCTTTTGAGATCAAGACCACCTCTATGATACTATGTCATCATTATATAAAGTTATTGTTTTGTTTTTGTTTTTGGCTAGGGAGAAAAAAATCACTTAATATTCTGTTTTTAATGAGTTAGAATGAGGATGGGAAATTAGATGATTAAGGCTATATCTATAGTGGTTAAAAAATGAGATTTTCATCATGCATTTAATTTGGTGTAAAAATGAACGTAAGCTGCTGCTTGGTTTCAGTTGTGTTTTCAGCTAAAAATAGCACAAGTGAGGAAAAAAAGGACTTGATGATTATATGAATTTTTTTTGTGGGAGCTTTTTTTGTTTGGTCAGCGTAGCCACAGCTAATGAGAAATAACTCAAAAATGTTTTAGTTATATGCTTGGCACACAGTTCTTTAACATTTATAAAGGTAGATTGTGCATAAAGAACTACACATTTTAAATGTTGTAAGCATTACTAAATGGTATACTTGTTC